AAATGAAACGGGGATTTAAATATCCCATGCTTCCTTTGCATACTCTCACCTGAGCGCTCTTTCGAAAGTGAAAATGCGCTCCAGACGGGGTTAGTTTGAAACAAACCCCTTGTTTCAAACTAACCCTTACTCCTCAAAAAATGAGGAGCAGCAAAAAAAAAAAAGAAAAAAAAAATGAGGAGTAAGAGTTATTTCAAAATAAGGAATTTGTTTCAGACTAACTCCATCCGGAACACGCTTTCACTTTCAAAACAACTTCATTTGCAACTCCAGTATGCCTACTTTGCATTCCTCTTCCAAAGAGGAATGCAATGTAGACATACTCTTAGAGACTTATTCTGTAATAAATGATTCTCCTGGTTTTGCATAACTTTCTGAGATTGTTTTCCTGACACAGCTAAAGGCATTCATGTTAGTGAATTATAAATAGTGAAAGAGAAAGGATTTTTTTGCTGCAAATAAAATGAAATTCACTTCTTACATAAAGGTAGTAATGAGGGTTTATGTTGTTGAAGTTCAGAGCTATCTGGGAACTGAAATCTACTCTCCCATTTGGTGCTAAGCCAGGGATTCATAGTGCAGCTTCCTTCTCCCACCCCAGTATAGCAACCACATCTTGTTCAAGCACACTTGCTTAACTTATCATTGTGTGGCCCTCTTCCAGTCAGCACAAGGACAATATCCACAAAGGGACAGCATAAGAGAGCCTGATATATGTCGATCAAAATATACCATCCATTGCATCTCACAATTTGCATGTGGCCTCATCTCTTGAGTGGGGTAGAGGACCTTGCAAAACCTTCCGGAACTGAATGAATCTCATTGGAATTAAAATGCCTTATAATTGAAAATTTTGCTTCCATTTTGTTTTTTCTACAGACATTTTTGTTTCTTCTCAGCGATTCAAATCATCAAACAGTCTTTTTAGTTGTTGTTCAGATTTCAGACTCTGTGCTAAGGTCTTTTATCTGTGAATCCTCCATTGTGCTAGTGTTCGAAAAAAATCATGTGGTGCTTCTAAGTTACATGGAAGGTGTTAATGGCTGTCAAAAGACCCTTTGATCTATAGAAAATCTCAGATCTCTGGAAGTCCTAAACACCTTCATAAAATATCCTTTTATGCAGTGATACCTGGATAAAAAAGGAGACTAATACCACCTGGAGAACTCGGCTGCATGGAGAAGCCTGAGCAGCTAGTTTCATTGTGAGTTTGCCGGTTTCAGACACTGGGTCTATGGGATTGTTTGGCAAGCTCTGTGAATATTGGAGGTGGAAAAATCTGGCAGACAAGAGCCATAGGGTAGGTCTAGACTACATGGCTCCATCGATGGAGCCATGTAGATTAGGTTTGTAGACATAGGAAAATGAAGTGGTGATTTAAATTATTGCTGCTTCATTTAAATGAAAATGGCTGCTGCGCTGTGCCGATCAGCTGTTTGTCAGCTCAGCACGGCAGTCTGGACATCCATGGTTGACCTCAAAAGCCTTTGTCGACTACCCCGTTATGCCTCGTGGGATGAGGTTTAGCGGGGGTGGTCGACAAAGGCTTTTGATGTCGACCGCGGAGCGTTCAGACTGCTGCGCTGAGTGGACAAACAGATGATCGGCACAGTGAGGCAGCCATTTTATTTTAAATGAAGCAGCAATTATTTAAATCGCTTCATTTTCCTATGTCTACAAACCTAATCTACATGGCTCCATCGATGGAGCCATGTAGTCTAGACCTACCCTATGGCTCTTGTCTGCCAGATTTTTCCACCTCCAATATTCACAGAGCTTGCCAAACAATCCCATAGACCCAGTGTCTGAAACCGGCAAACTCACAATGAAACTAGCTGCTCAGGCTTCTCCATGCAGCCGAGTTCTCCAGGTGGTATTAGTCTCCTTTTTTATCCATGTTGTCCTGGAGGGAGAAGAGACAGAGCATCCTTGGGTGCAGAAGAGACTGAAGAGGCCGATATGGATAGTTTGCATAAGGAAACTATCTGCCATTCATTCTTGCTGTGTTTAGGGCACCAGGACTTTGTATACATTGGTTTTTTTGTGAGAGCCAATATCAGATATGTTATGCTTATTTTTTTTTAATCTTTCAGTTTTAAATGTAACAGCCACTAAGTTGTCTACGAGGAGCCTAATCCGAACTACCTAGTTCGTGCCGCGTGTAGCCGTGGACACGGAGTCCGAACTAGTGGACATTTAAAAATGGCGGCATCTGGCAATATGCAAATGAAGCCCGGGAAATTCAAATTCCAGGCTTCATTTGCAACTCCGGTTGCCTACATTAACCACCCTAGTTTGAACTAGGGTGGTAGTGTAGACATACCCGGAGTGCCTTCACCTTGTACAGCTGCTTCACCTTATATACCTCATTCATGTACACTTGCTTTTGGGTCCAGGCTTCTGCTGTGTAGGCTGCTGTTTGTGGCTCAGGGCTGTCAGGGCCTGTCGTGTGCCACAAGCCCTTTTCCCTGAGGCTGTGCCTTTAAAAGTTTCAGGGGAAAGGGTATTATAGGGTATATCTGTACTAGCTCGTTAGTTCGAGCTAAGTAGGCAAATGAGGGCAACCGGAGTTGCAAATGAAGCCCGGGATTTAAATATCCTGGGCTTCATTTGCATGTTGCTGGGCGCCGCCAATTTTAAATCCCCCTTAGTCCGAACTAAGTAGTCCGCTAGACACGGCAGTTTAACGTTAATTTGAACTAACTCCTTAGTTCGAATTAACTGTTACTCCTCGTGGACTAAGAGGGATTTAAAAATGGCAGCACCCAACAACATGCAAATGAAGCCCAGGATATTAAATCCCGGGCTTCATTTGCAACTCCGGTTGCCCTCATTTGCCTGCCTAGCTCGGGTCTGGGTCTGGGTTTTACCCAGATCTAGGCTCAGCGCACACAGGGAGCTATCCATAGTGCTGATCTCCCTGTCAGGGTATAGACCTGGCTAGGTTGAGTTCCTGAAACAAACTGCCAAGCCCCAGCCCTGCAGCTTCTTTTATACCTCTCTGCTGGGTCCTGACTGGCTACCACAAAGACAACCACTCTGTAGTGTCTGGAGGACCTTTTTTCTGCTCCTCCTGTTGGGATGGGGTGCGGCAAGGCCACTAGCCTCCTGTATGGGGAGTTGGGACCTAATCCAGCTCATCACAATACTATCTGGCTACATCTACATTGGCATGATTTTCTGGAAATGCTTTTAATGGAAAAGTTTTCCGTTAAAAGCATTTTCAGAAAAGCGCATCTAGATTGGCAGGACGCTTTTCCACAAAAAGCCCTGATAGCCATTTTCGCGATCGGGGTTTTTTTTGTGGAAAACAGTACTGTGCTGTCTACACTGGCCCTTTTGCACAAAAGTTTTTCGGAAAAAGACTTTTGGCCAAACGGGAACAGCATAGTATTTCCGCAAAAGCAATGACAATCTTACATGAGATCGTCAGTGCTTTTGCGGAAATTCAAGTGGCCAGTGTATATAGCTGGCAAGTTTTTCCGCAAAAGCAGATGATTTTGTGGGAAAACTTGCCAGTCTAGACACAGCCTCTATGTTTTCAGTCTGATTTTTCAATAGCTAGCTTTGTTCTTCATTATTTCTTCAATAAATGTTGCCATCCCTTCTTATTTAACTCTCCTTGTGTTCAGGAATAAAAGACAGGAATAAATTCAAACCTCTTCCCCTTATTTTACAGAGACAGGATATATTGTGTAGAGAATTTATTTTCCTGGAGACAGGGCAGGAGGAGGCCTTGTAAGAAGCTTTGGGGAAGGGAATGTTTGAGTATTGACCCAAAGAGAAGTGTCATGACAGATAAAATTCTGGGATAGAAAACACAAGGGCTGTGTCTACACTGCACCCCTTTTCCGGAAAAGGGATGCACATTAGACCAGTCGGAATTGCAAATTGAAAGTAGGAATAAGAGATCCTCCGTAAAAGGGCTTATTTTCCGGAGAATCACGTCTAGACTGGCGCTTTTCTCCGGCTTATCCCCAAGCCGGAAAAAAGCGGTAGCCATGTAAATGCAAATGCCGTGGGGGATATTTAAATCCCCCGCAGATTTGCAATTCTGACTGGTCTAATCTGCATCCCTTTTCCGGAAAAGGGGTGCAGTGTAGACACAGCCAAGATGATTGAAGAATGAAGAGGGTACATTGTGGGTTTCCAGAATTTAGTTATTCATCAGTTCTCTATGAACACAAATAGTCTCAGTAGTTGAGGGAGTGGAAAAGGTAGGACTCATAAGGTACATGTAGACTACAGGCTTTTGTCAACAGAAGCTTATTCGACAGATACTGTCGACAAAGCTTCTGTCAACAAAGAGCATCTAGACTACATACAGTTCTGTCAGCAAAGCAAGCTGCTTTGTCGACAAGACAGTGTAGACGCAAAGGACAATGTAGATGCAATAACGTCTTCTGTCGAAAGAAATATCTTGACAAAAGGTGTTATTCCTCGTAGAATGAGGTTTACAGCCATCAACAAAACTGCTGAGTTCTGTCTACATTATGTCGACAGAACTCAGCGGCAGTGTAGACGCAGGTATAGTTTTGTCAACAAAAATTCACTTTTGTTGACAAAACCCGGTAGTCTAGACACACCTATATAGAAGAAGGGAAGGAAGATAATTGGTGGGTCTCTTACATTGAAATTAAAGCAATGATCTCTTTTTCCACTCTTTAGATTATGCACCCATGTATTAAAAGACTACAGTCCCTAGTATCCAGCTACATAATTCACATGTGATTGATAGTTTGGTCGTCTTTTCCATTGATTATATTAAAATCAATTTGTATGTCATTTCCAGTTGTCTGTGGTCTCTTTCAGCTGCCCCAGATCTTGTGGTGATTATAATCAAGAAGCTGCATTTAGGTGTTCTCAAATCTCATTCTTCCTTTTATTAATAGTATTTTGGATATTTGCTATTGTAATAAATAAAATAATAATAAATAATAATAATAATAATAATAATAATAATAATAATAATAAATATTTCTCATGTACTTAATTTCTAGATTGTGAAACTCCACCTCCTAGAAGAACGAAGGAAATACCCATAGGTACCTGGGATGAGGCATCCTATCCACATGGTACTTCAGTAAATTACAATTGTCGGCCTGGGTACATAAAACTAGGTCGTGTTACATTTGAGTGTAACGATGGTATGTGGAAACACATCTACCCGTACGTGGAATGTAGAAGTAAGTATCTTTGCAAAATGTGTGCAAATGTTATCTTCCTTTTGAGGTGGAGGGGGAGATCAGTTAGGGTAACATTACTACATCCTTGCTTGAGCAATAATATTTATCAAACTTCATGTGAGGTTTTGACTGTAATAATTCCATAACCTGAACTGTAGGGTATGTCTAGACTACATGTCTCTGGAGACATGTATAGGCAAAGAAGCAAAGTTTCACGAGGCATAAGGGATCGGTCAGCAAAGGCTTCCCAGCCAACTGATCCACGTCTAGACTACTGCGCTGTGCCGGATCAGCTGATCGTCGGCACAGCATGGCAGCCATGTTTATTTTAATGAAGCGGGGATTATTTAAATCCCTGCCTATGCCAGGTAGCCAAATCTACAGGCCTCTGTCGCCAGAGGCATGTAGTCTAGACATACCCTTCATAAGGTGGACAATTCCACTTAAAAACTCTTTATCATTACTGCAGTGATTTATAATACAAACACCAAAGGCACAGATAAAGATTTAGCAAAGCAATTGTTTTTTGTTAACAGTTGTTCAAAGTAAACATAGCTATTTTATAGTAAGAAATAACTAGATCTAAACAAAATTCAGAATTTCCATCCTTAAATGTTGGTTCTACGTTAAAATGAAGAGTTGAAATGTTTCACAGAATTGTTTAAACTATGATTCTGAAAGGTCAAAACATTTTATTTCAACTGTTTTGATTTACATGAAAGTTTTCAAAGAGTTCTATTTAAACTGTATTTTATCAAAGCAACAGTCCTCAGGGGAGCTTACATTCAGGAGCCTTGATACTCCATTCTTCCCATGTAAACTAGTCTCCCTTAACAGACTACAGCACTCATTATGTACTGCGAACTGTGTGACTTTCATCATAGGGAAACCATAGGGACAACCACATTGCATCATGGGAGATGTAGTTCTCCAGGGCAAATGGACTTTAGGTGAGAAGAGGGACTCAAACTATACCTCCCATTGCATAACAAATTGATAGGAAATATATTTTAATGTTTTACTGATCTGATTCAAAACTAAATGTGTTGGGTCAGTTCAAGAAATTGGAAGATTCTAATCAAGGCTGAAATGATACAAAATGAAACATTTCACTTAATTTTTCCCAATGGAAAATTGAAGATATTTAGCAAAAATTCAGATTTTTTCCAAGCAAATGTTAATTGTGCAGAAACTGCATCATCCATGAGAAAGTAATTAAAATAGAAAATTCCTGGCCAGCTCTATGAATAATTAAGGTAGGTTAACATTTATTATAATTTTCAATTAAAAAAGTAAACCTCTCTTAAAATTCACCATATGTTCTTTCAAGAGTGATGTTATTAATATCATATAATCATTTAAAACAGAATCTTTGTAAAGCACATTGAAGAAACAAAGTAATCTGAATAAAGTTTGGCTTTCTGAAGATCGTTAAATAGTTGTGGTTCCAAGAATGAGCACAGCCAGCATTTTTGGAGGTGATCACACAATCCTTTCCTTGTGACTACATGCACAAGTGATTGTTTCTGTCTCCACTTAGCCTTCCTTTAAATCTGGAATCAGTTTTCCTCGAAGGCATGCAAACATGCTTTTCCCCCAAATCGTCTATATCTATATTAAGAGAATATCAGGCATTAATTATCATAATGATTTTCAGGCCATATTAACGTGGCTGTATTTTGAGTGGAGATGTAGACTAGTTGGGACAGAAACATATTTGAATGCCTCAAACAAAAAATTAATTCCAAATGTAAAGGAAGGCCAATTGAAGAGAGAAGTAATCATCATTAAACCAGTGGTTAAGTATCATAATTTATTTTTTTGTCTATTTCTAGCCTGAATTTACCTAGCTTCAGCTTACAGATGTTTGATTTTTGTTATGCCTTTTTCTCTTAGTTTAAAGAGTAGTCTATTATTAGAAATCTCTCCCCAGTGGAGATACTTGTAAACCACAAAGAAATCTCCATTTAATCTTCTCTTTGATAAATCAAATAGATTTAGCTTCTTTAGTTTCTTAGTCAGACGTGTACTCATTCTTAGCAGTTTGTAATCTGATATCTTTTCTGAAACATGACCACCAAAACTGGACATACTATTCCAGTAACAAACAGTAAAGAAATCATAGGTGTAAAATTCTACAGAATAACTACAAAAATAAACTAAATGGTCCAGAAACTTTGCCATTGAGGACCTGCTCTTAAATATAAAATAGAGAGATGTGAGCTTAGTCCCCTTCCCTTCCTCCTTTTTTCCAAGAACAAACCAAGGTCACTCTTACTACACACAGTCTTTTTTGCCCTTCTTTTTGGGGACCTGCATACTATGCAGGATCTCTTCTGTGAACAAGTCTGTTGCTTCTGCAGCTGCTTCCACAAACTTCTCCCACATGGCAGATCTCTCCTCCTTAGAGAAAACATCAAAGAAATGTTCTTGCACAGATAGATCTATTAATTAGTCATACAGTTCTGCCCCTTTACTTATCAGTTTTTTCCAGTAACTCACCATTTTATGAACATATTCCCCATGACTTAACTAGTCAATCTTTTTAAGGTAAAATGTAAATTATATGCCTCTGATGTAATTTGAAACCTTTTTGACAAAGATAATTTAAAAATATTACACTTCATGGTCTCATTTACATTCATATCATTAAACACCTTCAAAGTTTTACCAGTCAGTTTGGTGAGTAAAAGCGTCATTCATCTCTTGCCCCCTGCCTCACGCACAACAAAGCAGGAGTTAATGGGCATGAAAGCAGGTTCTCCTCCCAGCACTCCTCACCCACTCAGAGGAAACCTCATTGGGACTTGGCAAAACAAAGGCAACAGATGCGGGGGGTGGTCCAGTCCAGCATCGGTACATTCAACAATGGCCATTCCCGTTGCTACTATACCCCGTGCACTAAGCACCATAGGACCCTTGGACAAGTTACAGATACCATCACTCAGCTCCATCCAGACCACTCAGACAAGCAATCAGATCCCCTCCACTTGGGACCCATGAGATGGCCTCCGATAGAGGGAGAAAGGAGCTCCCTAAGGATGAGGAATTGGGCTGCACTAGTAACAAGGATGTGTCCCCACTAAATAACCTCTCTCACTGGATGAAGTAGTCATCCTACCTACACCAACACCAGCTGATTACCTGAAGCAGTTTCAGGAACTGTTTAAAAGGGTGACTACAGCACAGAAGGTCACTCTACAGGAGGCACAGGGAAAACAGCATAAACTCCTGTAGATCTTCCAACCATCAGTAACCATCAGTATATTCCAATAGATGAGGTGATCATGGAATAGGCAGTCACAGTCTGGCAAACACCTGCTTCTGCCCTGCCCCACACCACCAACCAATGGGCAGATAGGAAGTGCTTCGTCCCAGCCAAGGCCAGGGACTTCCTTTTCTTACTCTCACATCCAAACTCCCTAATGGCTGATGAAGTGCACAAAAGGACAAAACAACCACAATTCCAATCAACTCCATAGGATAAAGACTATAAATCTCTTGACTTATTCAGACTCAGCAGCCACCCTTCAACTCTGAGTCCCAAACTACTCAGCCTTTCTGGCAAACTATGACCAATCCAATTACATCAAATTATAAGAACTCTTTGAGAACCTACCAGAACAAAAACACCAATAGCTACAAATATTATCCACATGAGCCAAACAACAGCATACACTGCCCTCCAAACAGCCATAGACATGGTGGACATTGTGACTAAAACCATGGTAATAGCAGTGGTCATGCATAGAGTCCCCTGGCTACAGTCTTGAGGGATTCCTAAGAAGCTACAAATGAAGGTCTTCCATTAGAGAGAGCACATCTGTTCACACTAAGTCCTTCACACTATGAAGGATTCCTAAGCTACACTATACACCCTGGGCATCTACACTCCACCAAATGAAAGAAGACACTATATGTCATACCAAAGACCTTTAATAGACAACTTTAATAGATAACACCAAAGGCCTTATGATTGTATATCAGAACAACATCCCAAAAGATGTAGAATGCAATAGGGTCAGGCTGAGATAACCCAGTATTCTACTTTGAAACAGCAATTTTGAAAAATTGGTTGAGGGTCTCAGTGACCTCTCCCTGTTCCAGAAAAAAACATAATCTCCTAACCATTTATTTGGCCATTGTTAATTCCCTTTTCTCTATGCATTGTCCATTGTAACAGCAGACCAGTGAGTATTGGAGATCATACACTAAGTCTCTCCCATTCCTATCCACCCTTTACACTCTCCCTCCATCCCCATCCCTTGTCAGAGACCCCTCTCAGAAGCATTTCTTACATCTAGAGACTAATCTTTAATTATAGAAAGCTCAACCAATTTGTCCTCAACCACATGTTCAAGTTGGTCACTCTTGCCACAATTATACTGGTGCTATACAGGGGAGACTGGTTTCCAGCCTTCAGCCTTCAAGATGCATATTTCCACATCTCAATCCAACCTGAACACAGATGCTTCCTCCACTTTACACTAGTCTCTAAACAATATTAGTACTAAGTAAAGTACTGCCATTCAGCCTATCCACAGCCCCAAGAGTCTTCTCAAACACACTCATTGTGGTCACGGCATACCTTCAACAATAAGGTATAATAATATTAACCTACCTTGATGATTATCTAATCTTCAGCACTATACCTCACCACACAAATCATGGTGTGCACAACTATGTAGCTCTTTCAACATTTAACACCTCCAGATCAATCCACAGAAATCAACTCTGGAACCCACTGAAACCTAAGGGTATGTCTACACTACAGCGCTACTGCAAAAGAAGCTAATTCGAAATAACACATCTAGACACAAAAACTAATTCGAAATAGCATTCTGCTATTTTGAAATAGCACGTCCACACTGATTGGATAATGGATTGCATTTAAGGGCAGCTGAAACTGGTTCCAGCAAAGCATCAGGTCTGTAGTTGCTTTGTGTGGCTTCTGTCTGAGGCTATCCGAGGCTCGTGCTTAAAGGAACCCCCCTGAACAG